GCCTATGCAGGGGGTCGGACTCGATGATCTATTGAGGTCCCTTCCGACCCTAACATCTATGAATCTATAGTTCTTGTGTTTACAAGTACTACCCTGCCTGCAGAGTTAAGTAGTTTCCTGCAGGCTAATAGGGCTGCATGTGTAGACACAAGATGTTTACTGCGGAGCTAATTAGTCTACTCCACAGTTAATGTCTTGTGTAGGCTTGCCCCATGTGTACTAATATTGCTTCACAGCATAGGAGATACTATCTATATCATCTCCCTGAATGTGGCTGTAATGAAACTGTTTTGGGTGATCATTTTAGATGCTTTCTTAGCAAGACTATATAGGTAAATTTGGAGACCACTTAGGGAAGTGCAGCAATAACAGAAGAACAGAAATACAAGGCCTTGATCCTGCAAACGTTTCTGCATGAGTTTGCTTCTGTGTTAAAGATAAGCGGCTGAATTAGTATATTCAGGAATTAGGGCCTTGTATGTTAAAGTTTAGCTAATCTGTAAGTAATGGAAGAGGATGGACATAAGTTTATAAATATTTCAAATATGGGCATACCAGTGAGAATGAGGAATTATATTTGCTGCCCAAACATGGTAGCAAGCGATAAACAGGGGACTGACTTAGCATTTTAGGACAACAGAATAAGAATGAAGTGACTTTTCATTTCACCCGTATAACTTAATTTAAAAACACTCTCATCACATGCGTACAAAAGCCAGAGTAAAATGGTATATAAGATTTATGCAGTAACTGGGACTTGAATTTATCCAATACTTTTGTGGTTAGGAATTGAACTGTAAGCAAAATTAAGCTTGTGTTTCATTAAAAAAAAAGAAAAAGAAGGAAAAAATTATTTCATGCCATAACATTTCAATCTTACTATTTTTTTTCTCTGTCTCCTTAAAGCTTGGCAAAATGCGGCTAACTAGCCCATGTAGGGCCCTGACTTGTTCGCACCTACAGTGTTTTGATGCCACTCTCTACATTCAAATGAATGAGAAGAAACCTACTTGGGTTTGCCCTGTTTGTGACAAGAAGGCTCCCTATGAGCACCTCATCATTGATGGGTAAGCAAGATGCAGAATACGTTTGTTAGTTCTTGATTATATGAGTACTGGAGTCATTTCAGGTCACCCAGTTGTGGTTCGTGCATTGGTCCCTACAAAGCTATGAAGCAGATGCTCCATAATTTAATATTCTGAAATAATTCATGTTCTCAGTTTGCTATAATAGATTAAAAAAAGACATGACAGTCTGCATTGCTTTCAGGCTCAAACAAGGTTTTGCTTTTACAAAAGACTGGCTATTGAATATTCCACTGAGGTAGGAGAATAGTATAGTCTTACAGTTAGTTTAAAAAAAAGTTAATGGCTTTTTAGGCTGAACAACTCTGTACAAATCTGACATAGTTTATAGCAGATATTCATATATTTAGAGGGACTGGGTTCATTTATTACATTTTCAATTTCATGCATAATTCCACATTTTTTGGAATTGCTTCTGGTATTTATCCAGCAGGTATTTAAAAGCCAACCCCTTCTCTCTGGTGGGCGTCCTCCACATTGGTTTCTCAGATCCTAATCCCCTGGGCAGGAACCCTGTGCTCCAAAAGCAGGAGAAGTGAAGAGCTCATAGAGTTACTTGGGGAACCTTATACCAAAACATTTTTTCTTTGTAAATGCCAAAGTTTGTCAAACTTGAAATGGTTTTAATGGGCATGCGTTTGTTCCAGTGGCCTTCCAAAGAAAGACAGGCAGGATGGAGATGGTGGAGGTCTTATGAGTTTTCTGCCTGCTGCTCTGGTGGTCTCGGAGGGACCCCAGGGCTCTGAGGCAACCCCATGTTACATAATGCCAGTCCAGAGGGAGGTGGCGACTAAAACAGGATTAATCACCTTTAACGCATCTTCTTTGCTACACAGCTGTAGATTTCAGAGGTTGGGTAACCTAAGTCATGGCAAGCCATCGAGAAAGTTACCTCTGGAATCTGTGCATCAACCTGAGAGAGACCTCTCCTGTTGAATGCGTGATAGCATTGCTTGAGAATTGGAATTAATTCATTGGGATACTGTTTTGGACAGTTTTGCTGTTTCTGTACCATTAAGAGAACATACAGGTTGTTATCTTAAGTTCTCAGAATTTTCTTGGTGAAAATTATATATTAGATGTGGGAATCAGTCTGATTCTTTCAGCAGACTAATTTAGTTTGTTTCTCTCATTCAGTTACCCTATAAGGTGCAAATTTACCCTGCTTCTAGTTTAGTTTAATGTCTTAATGTAAATCCAGAGGTTTTTTCCAGTCCTTTTATACTTTTTTTTGAGGATGGGTAGTAAGGGTGTTTGATTTACAGGTTGTTTATGGAAATCTTGAAGTACTGCACAGACTGTGACGAGATTCAGTTTAAAGAGGATGGGTCATGGGCTCCTATGAGATCAAAAAAGGAGGTGCAAGAAGTTACTGCATCTTATAACGGAGTTGATGGTAAGTCTTAAGTTCCTTGAGGTACAGCCCATGTTGCTAACCCACGTTGTTTTAGTATTTAACGGTAACCTGTAATGTTGCCAGTAATTAAACCTCTCTCTCCCTCTCTCTCTCTCTCTCTCTCTCTCTCTCTCTATATATATATATATATATAGAGCTTTTTATATAGGTAGCTTTTATATATAGGTAGCTTTTTATAGATTGGGGTTAAGACATTGGAAGAGTAACATTAACATTTCTTTGGGCTTGGTCATATTTTTAAAGCATTATTACTTTACAGTCTTGTTTTCTTTTCACATTTGTTCTTGTTCATAAACTTTATGCAAAGCATGTTATGTTTCATTTCCTGTGTTGACTCTACTGGGCATTCTGGCTTGAGTATTTGATGTTATTTCTTTGAACTTTTCGTAGGATGTATAAGTTCTTCCTTGGATCATCAGGTATCTTCTCACCAGCAGTCGAATAAGAATAAGAAAGTTGAAGTGATCGATCTAACCATCGATAGCTCCTCAGATGAAGAGGAGGAGGAACCGCCTGCGAAGAGGAGTTGTCCTTCCATCTCTCCTGCCTCACCCCTAAATAATAAGGGGTAAGAATAAAGTGCACAGTTTCTTAGTTGAGGTGAAGATACATTCATCGTGATCAACGGAAACGGTTTTGCAGACGTTCAGAAAGCCCAAGGTGGAATCCAGCCAATCTATACAGGTTTCCCTAAACTGCGTAAATTGAACCGTTAATGAACAGAACTCGTCTTTGGTCGGGGAGGATGGCAGATGCCTGCAGTGGTCAAGGCCAGAAGGCAGCGGGGTGCTGCTGCATGCCTCCCTGCTTACCGGACATTGCCATGGGCAGCTGAGTGGGGACCATCCCTGCTTAGCTGCCTGGCACATGCCCCCAACCCCCTGCTGTCAGCCACAGGGAAAGGGGAGTCAGCACAGAGTCTCTCCCCAGCCCTGTGGTGGGGGGGATGGAGGTATGGAGTCCCTGGCCCTCCCCTCCCCAAAGCTGGGGTCTGCCCAACTTGGGGGAGCTTCTCCCTAGCCTGTGGCTGCACATCTCTGCCCCCCCCATGAGTTGCTGCCTCTGCCCCCTGCCCCAGTCCTGGCCCCCCTGGTCGTGGGGGTTATGTGGCATTGCATCGTAACTGAAAAACTCACTGTTTTCATTGTCCCCTGATTGCAGCAGATTAGATCTTGACTCAACTCGCAAGATCCGTGCTATTTTAAAAATAGGAATGTGCTAATGGAAGTACTAATTTACTGCTGCGTCTTCACCAGCTGAATTTTCTGGGTTTTGCTCTATAGCAAAGTATGATGAAGCAAAGTTTTTAATAGATTTGTTGTTTAATTAAAACAGCTTTGACTTACTGTAGTTAAATGCTTTTGAGAGGCCAGCACTACTTCTTTAGCAGAGATTTTTGAGGAAACACTCAGCACACCAGGAAACAAGAAGACTATCGGGGTGCAGTTTGGGGCATGTCTGCTTTTCAGTAATTACTGTGAGCAGCCTAGCAATACAGAACACCAGAATAACCTGATGGAAATAAACAGCCGTATTGCTGATAGAGAAGATTTCACAAGCATGTGGAGATGAAAAAATTGGCATCAAACGGAGATTGTTACTGCTCCCAGCAATGTAAACCACTCAGCGATCACTTAGAGCTCTTCAAAAACTTTTTTGGCTGTTGTCCATAGTTAACTTCTTGCATAGCACGTGACAAATGACTGGACTATTGTGCTGTGTATATAAACCATAATCTGTAGATTTTGTCTGGACTCATAATGACTGTTCTTACAGTTATTGTGGGCAGTGCTCAAAGCTCCGATTATAGTTAAGGTTCTTTCCATGGCAAGACCGTGTTTTCAGTGACTTTAACTGTTTGAGCTTAAATTCTCTTTATCTTTTTTTGCCAGCTAAAACAGTGTAGCTGTTTCTGAGAACAAGGTTAGGAGAAATGCACTGTTTTGCCCATCTTCTAAAAAACCAAACCAAAAGAAACGTGGATGTTGCAACACCTCCATATTTTGGAACTAAAGCTTAGGAATTTGGTAAAACAGTTGCCTTGATGTGACTTTGGCACCTTTATTGTGTGCATGCTGTGTTGTAGATTGTGAGTTTTTAGTATTTGTCCCTTAAACCTCTGTAGGAGGCATACTTCTTGCAGGGGGCAGCAGCAGGGGTTTGCAAACATCTCACTTGGACACTTAAAATCAAAGATACTTTTCCACACTTTGTAAGTTTGTTTTTTTTTAATTTGTTTGTTTCTTGTAGCATTTTGAATTTACCCCACCAAGCATCTCCTGTTTCAAGAACCCCAAGCCTTCCTGCTGTCGATACAAGCTACATTAATACATCACTTCTACAAGACTACAGGCATCCATTCCACATGACACCTATGCCTTATGACTTGCAAGGTAAGCTGTATACTGCTGTTAACTGCAAATTAAGTTTTCTCTAAGCAACATACAGTATTCTGAAAGACTTAGCTATGCAGTTGATCAGCAGTCCAGTAATATTATGTTGTGGTTCATAGATGATAACCTACATTAGCACCTTGTGGGCAGAATTATTTTAAGGGTTAAAAACAGTACATTTCTCTTGCAAACTTTACTAAATCAGCTACTTCTGATGCAACTTGACATCCTAGTATTGTATTCTACTTCTGTGTATCGTGGCAGAGGGGGATTCTTTTGAGAAACTGAAAATCTTTTGTTTTGGCTTTCACAGGATTAGATTTCTTCCCCTTCTTATCAGGAGACAATCAGGTAAGTTATAGAAAAACAAGTAACGTAGCTTGCTTGGACTCAGTACAATAAACCCTTCTGAGGGGGGACCTGCAGGTCAGAATTAGAACCAAGGTAGATGTTTTTGCAACACTTGGAATAGAAAGAGGGCATTTTCTGAAAGGTACAGCCATGGACATTGTTCTGAGAGATGCACTGTGTCTGTTCCAGGGCAGAGCCATAAATACATTAGTGCATTCGTGCCACAAAGAGAAACTGAGCAGTTTGCTGCTGTTGTCAATAGCAAGTTGTGCAAAATAGAACAAAGTGGTGCAAAGACCAAGTTGCAAATATCCTTAAAATGTAAAAGGGTATTTGTGGCAGGCAAGTCTTTTGAAGCTTAAAGTTCTCCACTTGGTCTTGCCTGGTACCCATCATGTTGGGAGCACAGCCACGCTGTGAAGCACCGTGCTCTTGTTGATCTGATCTGTTTGATTCTGAGGCTGCCCTTCCCACAAAAAGCCCAGGGCAACTTGCAGTAAAAGACAACATAACTTATAAAACAAAATAAAATGAGGAAATATAACAAAAAAAGTCCCTGTTCCTTCTCCCTTGACCACAGAATTCAAAAGCAGGCCACCCCTGGATGGCCTGCAGTCCTTTATAAAGCCCATAGGCTTTCCCCTCTGCAGCTTGGATGGCCACACAGTGCCTCTCAGTGTCCTGGTCCTTCTTCTCTGTGGGGGATGTTGGCAGCCCCTCCACAGCTGGAGGCTGCTGCAGTCGGTGCGGGGCCAGCAGCAGAAGCAATCTTCAGCGCTTTTGGGAAAGGGGTCTGAATGATCCCTGGTATTAATGATTAGCAGATTATTTTAATGGTCCCAAGTGGTCTGTGGCTTAGTTTTGGCCAGACTATTTCTTCAAGTGTTGAACAATTTCTAGCTAACATGTGTGTTTTGGAGAAGAAACTACACTGCTTCCTGTCACCCAGTTGTATCTCACCATATGTTGGTGTCTTGTGATACTGCTGGCAACCCATTAGGAACTAGTATCAGTAAGAATTTTGTTACCAGCTTTCCTCTGGCATCAGAAATCAAAGTCCCTGGAGGTAAAAGCTTGCTATCTAATAGGGTAGTACTCTGACTACCAGGGTAAACCAAAGTGGCCAGCTTCTACCATTCATGAGGTTTACATTACTCGCGTGCTTTCTCCTTTGTTTGTGCCGCTGTGAACAAAACCTCTGGAGCCCAAATTATAACTTTTAAATGTCGTCTTTCTTCCCTAGCATTACAACACCTCCCTTCTTGCTGCTGCAGCTGCAGCAGTTTCTGCATCGGATGATCAAGAGCTTTTACACTCTCGTTTTTTCCCATATACTTCATCTCAGATGTTCCTTGATCAATTAAATGCAGGAGGAAGCAGTACACCTCCAGCCACGAATGGCAGCAATAGTGGCAGTAACAGCAGTCTTGTTTCCTCCAACAGCCTGCGAGAGAATCATGGCCACCCGGTTGCAAATAGAGGCGGCGTGGACACAGCATCAATCTTTGGCATCATACCGGACATTATTTCATTGGACTGACTTTTGGACTAAATGGACCTGTCAGAAAGAGGAGATCTGTGTGCTTGGTTTTACCTTATTCTGTTTAGAAACATAGACAAGACTTTTTTTTTTCCTTTTTTAGGAAAAAAAAAATTGACATGTACAGAGAACAAAACTATATTTTCAGTTTTACTTTTGTATATAAACCTAAGCTGGCCTGACTGGTAAAACGATGACAAAAAAATACAAAAAAAAAAAAAAATACAAAAAAAAAAAAATCCCTTCAGTTTACTTTTCTGGATTTTACACCTGCACATTTATCCTGTGAGTTACTCCTTTAGTTTGGACACACGTGGCATTATTTTCTCCACAGTTAAGTAAGCAGTAAAAGAATTAAGTATTTGACATTTTAATTTATAGGAAGTTTTAAAAAAAAAATGCCATTTACATGAGGTGGTGGATTCAGATATCCCTCAGATTTTATTAGGTTTTATCAGCATACGCCCTGCCTAGACTGTTCCACAACATTCCCTGCATGGGCAGGACATCACTCCTGGGAGTGTGGTGGGGTTTTTAAAAAAAAAAAATGTCATTTCTGGCTCTACAAGCCTTTGTAGCCAGTTGGTCTGTGGAGATCCATGTGCCTCCTAACACGCTGGATTCTCATCTAGTGGGCCAGTTACTAAGCTTGATAAAAACTGGGGCTGAATCATTACTTTGAGCCTTGCATGGTCTTCCATAAGACAGTGTTTTATAGAATTGAACCTCTAATAAAAGCTTTGATACCTACTCTGCAAATTTTTATTTCTGTTAAGTATGTAAGGCTTCAGGCCACTCAGTACTTAAGCGTGTGTCAGATTTTAAATTGTGAAATTTCTCATGCGTTTCAAAATTTGCCATGCACTGAAGTAGCCTGCTAAATTGGGGCTTACACTTGTTCCGTAGGGAATACCTGCTTTTTTGGCCGCAGCAGATCGAATTTCTGCTAAAAATAAACCTGCCAAGCAGAAGGAAGGAAATATGATTTAAATGCACTATTGCATGGTTTGTGCAGCAGCTGACAGCGGTCATGGTACATCATCATCTTCTGGCTTTACATGTATAAAGGTTAACTTAATGTTGATTGTTAAACATATGAACCCTTTTCCACGCAAATCTTAGCCCACTGAACTGTACTGGAATGTCTGTGTGCAGAAATCTGCTAGGGTAAGTGGTTACAATTATTTTTCTTTTTTTCTTTTTAGCCTCCTGGTTATTTTGAGTGATTCCTGGGTTTTCTTTTTTTATTTGTTCATTTTGTTTTGGAGGGTGCCCCCCCCATGCTTATATTGAACTGTGAGCCATACTTGTTCCCTGATTTTTCCACCCCCTCCCACCACCACTTTTTTTTTTTAAAGATGTGCATGACATAGGAAACTCTTTTTTAGAACTTCTGGATCATTTGGACTGATCCATTCTTGTTAAACAGTGAAACGTGTAAATAGAGGGAAAGCAGTTTTTCAGGAGATTCTTTAAAAAGAGAGGGCGGGGAGGGAGGGAGGTTATTCTATTGTGCCCAAAGTCTTCATTAGAGAGCATTACTATGTTCTCTGGTGTGAAAAAAATATTTTTTTAGCTAGTTGAAAGTGCAGGTAACAAGCTTATCAGGAAAGATAGGAAGGAATACTAAAATTAGCAGATTCCTATCTGAATTTTTATGTCCAGAACTGTTGATGTCAGCTGGTTGCTTTGAACTTTGACAAAGGCCACCTTTTGCATATGAAGTTGTCTCTTTAAAGCCTTGCATTGATAAAAAAAAAAAAAAAAAAGAAAAAAGAAAAAAAAAAGAAGGAAGAAAATTACCTTACTCCAAGTAGAATTAGGTATTACTGTCTGATCAGTTGTATGGTAAATTGGAAAGCTCACATGAATATGTGGCATCAAAATTGTTTTTTAGTGTCTTCACAGCATCCCTCTGCCACTAAATAGTTAACTTGAATTTTGAAAACAAAATGTTTTGTGTTTATATGTATATGTGTGTGTATATATGTATTTATAGATGTGTGTGTGAGTTCAAAGTGAGTTAAATAGTTTTTCCCATGCATGTGTATTTCATACATATCTGGCTGATTGATTGATATATTTATCTATATATCTACAGATATATAGATATATCTATCCCTATGCACCAGGTTTATAATTTATTAAATGTCAGTAAAAAAAAAAAAAAAAAGGAAATAAAAGGATAGAAACCAGGAAATACTTCATTTCTAAATCGGTCTGATTTTTGAGGCGATGAAGCCCACATTAGAAATACCAGTTGTTAATAAAATGTAGCCATACAGCTTTTGGGTAATAAACCAGTCATTTCAAAGTATGTGCTTCTGTATAATATCTTGTGTAAATCTGGAGGAACGTAGATTCCTCCAGGTTCACACCAGGAGAAGTGGGATCAGACGTGGTCCCAATTTCTGAAATTGGTAATAGGATAAAAATAATGACACTCAGGGGAGCTGATGGCCACTTTACATCTGAATTGTAGCAACATTTCTACCAATTGTGTTGCATTAAAGGTGAGCTGAAAAGCTGCTTTTTTGACCAAAAAAAAATAATTAAATTCTTGGTAATGTTTTATTATGTTGCACAGAAAGAATCTAAAGTCATCTGATGGCACCCTTCCCCTTTCATTCCTCCATCATCTAAATAAGAGCAAGAGGGCTTTTCAGTTCAGCTTTTTCATTTTTTTTTTTTAATCTTGTTCCACATAGAAGGGACAGCAAAAGCTCTTTAATCCTCCCGTGTGGTATTTGTTCTGTACATGCTTTGTGGGTATTTCTATCCCATGCCAGTACGTTTCGTAAGATTGATAATTTTCTGGAACTTCACATTTGATCGCGGCTAACACGACTTTGTAGAAATACTCAGCCTGAGTTCTCTGGCAGTTCATTATAAATAACTATAACCCCCACTTCATTTGCATATTGATTAAAGGTGCAGTAAAGTAACTCATTTGTTTTGGCTGGTTTGCAATATTGCCAAATTGACTGTAGATGACAAGATGGTAGAGTCTGTATACTTGTCAGAGTAGTGGTCATTTTTGTTGTTTTTTTTGGTCCTTCAGTTCTTCCAGTAGAAGGGTAGGTGTGTGGGTGTGCACATGCTCATGCGTGTGTCTGTTTGTGTTCTGTTAATATTGTGTGGGTACATATAGATACACACAGATATGAGGAAATCAGTGGCATTTGAGTAGCAGAGATGAAGTGACTTTGAATCACTTTTATGGGCATTATTGAATACATCCTCTAGGGGGAAAAAATACACCATACACGACTATACCTGAGCATTAAAAGATGTCAGAAGTACTTCCATGACTATATAGGCATTATTGCAATTGTAGGCCTGCTCCTTACCCTCCATGGCAAGGATTCAATAAGCCCTCTCAAGGATGGGATGGCTTGTGGATTTGCATTAAACTGTGTCTTGGAGTTGCCTCCTAACTGAAAGCTAAGGACTGTCGGGAGACCGTTGTAAAAGTTAATCCTTCACTGCGCTAAACATTTCAGGGTTTTAAAGCACATTTTAAAATGTATTCAGAAAGGATTTCATTTTATCAATGTAAGTGTTTGGTTTTCTTTTTTTTTTAACAGAACTTAGGTTTCTAACAAGGGAGAATTTCTGGTGGTCCCCAAAAGTGCTGCTGTGAATTGTTATAATTATCAAAGGGAAAATGTATATAAGCAGAATATTAAAAAGTTACCATTAATTCCATGAATTTAAATCTGTGATTCATTGCCTTAAAACTTTCTCTTAGTTTCCATATGGCATGCCAAACCAGTAAATGGCTTTTAAAAATGTATAGTAGACCAATGTCAGTTTGTATAAAAGTACCAAGTGAAAATATTTATTACATGCATTGGAAAAAATTGTTTACCTATTGAATGTTACCTGTTTATGTAGAAATCTTTAGATGTAATAAAAAAAGGCATTCAGTTATGCTGTATTCTCTACTGTAAGTAATGCGGGTTGCTCTCCTGGAGCATGAATCTCACAGGAACGTGTCTTGGACAGGCAGGCTTCATCTGTGAATGTGTCCCCTGCCCTGAAACAGTACTTTGTACCTGTATATTCAGGTAACCTGTTGCACGCACCGCTCTCCTTGCCTCTGCCAGAGGCTCCCTTTGTGCAAGGACATATAGGACATTGTCCCTCGTCTTTACTCTGAGCCGGTTTGTTTCTGGGTAGCAGTAAGTAAAGGCAGTGACACGGCGTTGGGTTCTGTTAGGCTTTGATACGCTCAGTCCCCAGGTCACATCAAAGCTGTTACCACTTCTCACCAAAGCGGTGGGTTTCTAGTAGTTGAGTGCTATGGCTAGTGTGGAAAAATTACTCACCTGTCTTGGATCACCGGCAATAGGTGTTGATATAGATGGTGTGATGTAGTGCTGTGTGGGGATACACAAGCTCGCTCCAGCTCAGGAGCAGTAGAGCCGTGTCGGTGCATCACTCTACAGAGCCAACTAGCTGGCGATGCTGGGCCCGGGGCCCAAGCAAGTCCTGCCGCACACTGCCTTGCTTTGTGAATGTGTACCAGCTTGTTCAGAGCTGGCACGGGTACCCCCATCTCTGCGCTGCACAGACCAGCCCTGTATTTTGCTGCTTTCCCAAACAAGCGGCTGGCATGTCTCCCCCAAAGGGAGTGGTGAGGAGAGCAGCAGATGGGCCTTGCCTGAAATGTCAAGAATTTATTTATCACTTATAAATGGGGGAGACGGGATCGTCTTTTTATGATTGGTTAAAAGCAAGGTTGTCTTTCTCACTGGAGTCCCTCAGTAGCACCTGCAGCATTTACCTTTTTTTTTGTTTAAATGGGAGTGTTGTTGGAGTGTGAAGCTGCTCCTCCACGTCAGCAGACGCTAGACGGACACAACAAGGTAGGTCAGCAGAGATCATGGCCCTTTACCGCCCGCTCCTGTGCTCTTTGAGGACTTAACACAATTTAGATATTTTTTTTAAACCTACGAGGATTTGTTTGTCCCGATTTATTTTGTGGTCGCTGATATGTTTCATGGGAACTGCAAGTCGAGTCTTGATGGCCAAATGGAAACGGGGCACAGGTACAAAGGCTGGTTCTGCGCCTAAAGCATACGACCCAGTGACGGGTATCTGGGTTCCTCATCTCTTGTGTGCCTTTGGGCAAGTCCTCTGCCCTCTGTGTGCCTCAGTTTTTCCATGTGTAAAACGGGACTAATGCTCATCACCGCAGAGTTTGGGGCCATAGTTATTCGTTGAAAGGTCCAACGGCCTGTTTAACTAGGCTTGTCCAACCTGTTACTGTCATGGCCAAACATGGGCACACAAAATGTGGTTAAGATCCCGGTCATGCAGCTAACCAAGCAAGTGGGTCCCCAGTGATGCCAGTAGGGCGGAGTGTGAACACCAAGGCTCTGCCTGCTTGAAACCAGTTGCAGGCTTGCAGCCATCAGTAACCATGCCTGGCTAGTGTGTCCCTCTGCTAAAGACCTGGACTGTCGTGGCCTCGTCTGCCAGTCAGCACTTCCCCCCTCTAGGTAATTGGCCTGCCAAGGTTTGCACAGCTGTCTCCATCCCAGCTCTCTGCAGTGATGTCATTGACCCGTGTGCGACTGATGCCTCTCTGTGCCTCTCTATTTGGACACCAATTCCCTGATAAGTCTTTATGCAAGCACTTTCTGGGAATACTGTATGTGGAGACACCAGTAAGATCTCTGACTCCTCTGAAACATGTCAGCAAGTCACACCTCAGTTGTGGGTTGATAGCGTAGAAGTACTTTTTAAAGGTTTCATAAGACTGAAAAGTTCTGGTTTATAGTTTTAGGCTCATCTGGCTTGCTTGATATCTTGAGGTGCCCCACAGAGCATAATCAGACTGCACCAGCTAGGTTTTCATTTAAAAAGAAAGTTTCCAGCCTTAATGCCTATAAGAAGGATGTCTCGAATGTGAACAGTTCCCCTTTTCCTTGTCTCTCACCAACTAACCACCTCAATCTACATTTTAACTGACTGGCTTTCTTGCATACCTACTGGCCTCTGGCTGCTTTGTCACTCCATCCAGGAAGAGCACAGACCATCTGCAGACGTTTCCTCAGCCTGATGAAGAGTGTTTGTGCCCGAAAGCTTGGTAAGAAGAATTTTTCCAACTATGTGAGTTGGTCTAATAAAAGACATCAGATTTACCCAAAGAACCTTGTCTGCCAACAGTTCAATACACTGCTTTCCTTGGTTTGCAGATAATCTGAAACAGCGGCTGAGCGGTGTGGGCATTGCCCCTGCCTTTACAGTGCAATGAGGAAGCTAGCGCTGCAGTCTAATGTTGGTCTTCTTTCATTATTGCTCGTTTTACAAACAGAATGAGGAAGAGGTTTATTGCTCATTATTGCTTATTTTACAAGTGGAAGGGAGCTGGCTCGCTGCTGCAGAGGAGGAAATAGCGAGTGCTGAAAGCAGGGGAGGCCTTTTGAATAGAAAGGGCACTGAGGAAGGACGAAGACCAATGAACAGAATTAGCAGCCATCCTAACAGAGACTTGTGTTACCTCACTAAGGAAATGAACAGATGTTTAACTGCAGTGTTAAGATAATTGACTCTGTTCAAGCCTCCCACTGATGCCAGAGGAGATTTGCACATGGGAAATATATGGAGCCGTGAGTTGCATATCATGGTCAGCTGGACCATTCTTAAAACTGGAACGTGACCCTCTGGTGACAAGAGTTTAGATAAACAGGACTGGGCTTTCCAGGCTACAGTCAAAGGAAGAATTGTGTGACTCGTTAGGGGCTCAGTACAGATCATGTCCACAGAGAAGCTGTTCCACTCACAGCTGCTTGTGTCCTGCGCTCTGCCAGGGTTTCCGACTATCTGTAAAAAAAAAAATCCAGGCTAAAAACGCCTGTCTGTAAAGTCTATTAAAAAATTGAGCCGTCCATAAGAACTCTGAGCAACCTGGTGATTGAAGGTCTCTTGTGAGAAGCAAAGCTGGAGTTAAGCATTGAAGGACAGAGCAGAGCACCTTGTGCCTCCTGGCCCCAGTCATCTGCTGTTGATACTGCTGCTGGGTCCTATTGCCTCCCAGTAACATTGCCGCAGGGCAGGTAGACAACTGGTCCTCTTTTGGGGGTCCTTGCCAGGGCAGGGTGTGGGGCTGGCAGGGGCAAAGCTGGGGAGGGGATCAGGGTATAGGGACCCCTGTAGGGGGCAGTTTAACTGATAATCTACACACTTTTTACTGACAAGCTTTTTTAGTATGGTTGGTGTTAAACCCCTAAATTTCAACCCAACCCTTGTCCAGAGCCTGGCAGGAGGATTACATTTACACTCTGTAAGACATATGTCAGTAAAAAAAGTTTGGCTGACAGTAAAAACTTTGTGCATTGTTGGTTTAAAAAAAAATCTTGGGTTGGCAACTCTATACTCTGTCCATATGCTAGGAATGTGTTCTGGGCACCCCTCCCAAGTGCCTCAGCAGTAACAAGCTGCCTTGGCCAAGTACTTGACTTATCTCTTCTGAAAGATTAAAGCAACCACCTAAATTCATGGAGACAGTTTTAGAAATTGATTCATCTGCCTGATTTCATAAAACGTGGTAGCACGAGCACAGCAGTAAGGAGGCCTCGCTCTTCCTCTTCCACTCGCCAAGTGTTTATAGAAGTGAAGTAAAGGATGTGTGGTGCATCCCTTCAGTTTTCATGGACCATGAGTTTTCCTTTCTCTGAGTTTAGTGACCAGTATTTCCTGGGATCTGTTTGGAAGAACTCAAATCTGCCTGACTGCTCTCCCTGCCCTAGGAATAGGTTTCTGGTTGTACCTTGAGAGTGCTGTGTTGTTTTGGCATCTCAGTAACAGCAAAATATCAGAGAGTCGCGTCGTACAGACCTGCTGGGGCCTAGGCAGTGCTGTGATCGCCAAGGTTTATAGGTGGCATAGCCATGCTCCCTGAAGTACCATGTACAGGGAACAGTGTGCCTGGAGCTGGGACGATAGGGATGTCACAAGCCCTGGCATGTTCTGTCTCCAGAAGAGTTATCTCCATGTGATGTTAGCATAGGTCACAAATTTTGCCTTGCAAAAAACTTTAAAGACCTTATTAAAGAGGAACCCGTCAGCTGATTGGTAAACATGACAAGTTTTACATAATGTTGCAATTCATTTATTGGAAATAATGCATCAAACATCTGACGTGCGATGCTCCATCCCAACTGACAAGAGAAGGCAAAAGATCTTTAAAGCCAAGCAGGAATGACTCTAAAGAGTCCAAAGCAACGGAGGGAAACACGAGATACTGGTTGCTTCTTCCTCTATGCCCGCTGCTCTTCCAAAATTCATTAGTCTGTGACGGGAATTGTGATCCTACGGATGAAATCTTCGTATTTTATTATCCCATTTGGTCCAACCTTGGCTTCCTTCAGAAGGTCATCCACTGCAAAGAATGGACAGCACAGCATAACTATACTGATTTTTATGCTGAACCCTCCAATATTGGAATGAGTTGCCTCAAATATTAGTAACTAATATATACTATAGTTTTTAGGACACACACACAGGCACAGATTTAAGAGCATGGAGCAGTAATGAGGACATTTGACCTGAAAACAGTTGAAGGCGTGGGCTAGGTCCTCAGCTAGCGTGTAGCTCCACTAAAGCCACGGGAGCTACACTGGCCTAGTAGCCTTGTCTGTGTAGGAAATTGTCAGTGGTTTAACTGAAAAATGCGAGGATCTCCACCTTGGGAGGAAAAACCTGCAGCATGCTTATAGGCTCGGCAGTGCTACGCTGGCTAGTACTACAGAAGAAAGACTTGGGGGTCATGACTGACCACGAGATGAACATGAGCCTGCAATGTGATGCTGCAGCTAGTAAAACGAGCAAAACGCTGGCTTGTATCCACAGATGCTTCTCAAGCAAATCCCGGGACATCATTCTCCCATTGTACTGGGCCTTGGTGAGGCCGCAGCTGGAGTACTGCGTCCAGTTCTGGGCTCCACAATTCAAAAAGGATGTGGAGAAGTTTGAGAGAGTGCAGAGGAGAGCCACGTGCGGGGTCGGAGGGCAGGAAACCGGACCTTACGATGAGAGGCTGAGAGCCACGGGACTCTTCAGCCTGGAAAAACGCAGGCTCGGGGTGATCTGGTGGCCACCTATAAGTTTATAAGGGGTGACCACTAGGATCTGGGGGGACGTCTGTTCACCAGAGCGCCCCAAGGGATGACGAGGTTGAACGGTCACAAACTCCGCCGCGACCATTTCAGGCTGGACATAAGGAAGGACTTCTTTACTGTCTGAGCCCCCAAGGTCTGGAGTAGACTGCCACCAGAGGTGGTTCAAGCACCCACTTTGAACACCTTCAGGATGCATTTGGATGCTTATCTTGCTGGGATCCTATGACCCCTGCGGACTTCCTGCCCCTGGGGCAGAGGGCTGGACTTGATAATCCTCCGGGGTCCCTTCCAGCCCGAATGTCTATGAGTCTATGAAAATCAGTTCTTAAACTGGTCTGACCTGCACTTGGGCCAGGTTGCTTCAGTACAGGAACGGGTTTAAATTAAACTCCATTTATTAAAGCTAAACCAAAAGAGAGGACTTGCACTTGACTGACTCGGTTTCCATGCATGTCTTGGGCAGTCTAATGCCACTTCCTCGCGTAGACCGACTTTTAGTGTTACAAACAAGCAGGCAAATGGAAAGAAAGAACAGTTTCTTCTTTCTGACTTTAAAACATATCCCTTAATGTTGGAAGTGTGCACAAGGTACTATTTGCCAATATGCCTGTCTTTGTGGGTTGAAGATGTGTTTTCCAATGCTCTGACTTCCAATACTGACCCTCCCCTTCCTAAAAACTAAGCAAGTAAAAGGGGAGTTGATATCTTTTTGTTGATTCCTTTCTCATCAAACATGAGAAACGTCATTTGTACCAAGTCGCTGTTGAACTGGATATACTCTTTCTGTTCCTACGTTTCAGGAAGCAACAGGAATCTTGTTGCTTGCCCCCTGCACGCTTTTTTTTGATTCTTATAAAGGTTTGGTTTTAGCAGGTGTTCATTTTAACATCCAATGAACTCCACTGAGCTTTGGGCAACAGGCTTGCAGGCCATAGGGCCAATCCTCTGTCAAGCGGAGGCTAGAGAATTGGTTTGGTTGTCCATGTGGAGTCTGGTTTAGAGGACCATGTGCGGTCTCTGTTGCTTCCTGCTCGTGGCCATTGGACAGTCTTACCATGGTTAATTAGTGTGTTGTTCTTCTTGCCCATTGACACGTGCATCCCTCAGCCTTTTAGTCTGAGACTCCATTGATGCTGGAAACCCCACCCTTTGCGCCTCCCCCTAGTAGGGACCTGTGATGGACGCCTCCACTAACAGAAGGGGAAGTTGTCTGGATTGCCCAGAAACTCGGGGCCTTGGGTGCTTTCAACATCCTCTTCTGCACATAAGTGTCTTGGGACATAAAACCACCCACTTGACATGCTGTTCCTCCTCCGCAGATGCTGCCCTTGCTTGTCATGAAGTCACCCCATAAGGAAGAACTAGGTCATTTCTGCTTCCTTAGGAAGCCATGAGCTTTGCACATTTGTCTTCCGATCCTTCCTCCGGCCCTGCGTCTTCCAGAGACTCATGGGCAGGCAGATCTCAGACCGACAGGAACGGTGATGGAGGACCTTGCATGGCAGGACATCTCTCAAGCTGGGATCGACCTCTTATTTACCATAGACAAGACCAAGAAATGCCAGGAATTCTGCTCCAGAAGGGGCCCAAATTGGGACCCCGCATAATCCTTCCCTCATTACCTGGAGGCTAAGTCTGAGGTAGTCCACTCCCAACCCCTGCTCCCTTGGTGTTCATTAAGGCATGGCCAAGTTGGATCCATCTGGCTACAACGGAGCTCATGTAGCCCGCTGGAAGGACATTCCTGTCCTAGGGGCAGCTACGTGGCGCTTGGTCCACATCTTTGCAAGGCTTGTCTTCAGGTAGAGGTTTCCAGCTCCCGTTGTTCAATCAAACCCCAAGACACCCCCTCCTCTCACCCAAGTCAAACAGATCCTGCCTTGTTGGTTGCCAAGAGTGCAATCCATGCAACTGGTCCCTGGAAGGAAAGGCAATGGCTCTTCGAGATGAGGACTCCCCTGTGATGAATAAATAACACCACGTGTTTGGCCTCCACGTGCTAGGGAGCACTCTTCCGAGTTTGAGTTTTGGTGAAAGGGGGGGGGGGGTGCTGGGTTGACTCAACCCCCTACGCTATGGACGGTGCTGGGCTGAGAGCACGAGGGCATCGAGGGCACAGATGCACCCCAATGGACATTGCTGGCCCCAATCATCCCGTCTCCGCATGGGGTGAATAAAATCTTTGTGCACAACGGGTATTGAACCGCTACAGTAGCTGTAAGGTAAGTAACTGTCTTTTATGTGATCAAGAGGTCTAATATTTCCACTTTCAAATAAGAGACTATCCCCCTGGTAACCATATCCTTTTAAAGGGTTAAACTTAGGGTAACCCCTGGCCATTATACGTGAGAAAAAAGGAAAACCCTTCATTCCTCTCTGTAAAATAAAAATGGTAATACATTGAAGAAAGGTGGGGGTTTTTTCCCTGTCTTTTGTGTTTTTGAAGCTACTGTAAACAAAGCTACATGCCATTGCCGGCAGCTATTGAACATTGCGGATGACAGTGAAATCGAGTCTGAGCATCAAATATTTATCGTGGTTCAGGAAGCTGGGTTTAGGGTGTCAGGCTAAGGTCTGTGGTGGATGTCTTCTTGAGAAAAAACAGCTTGAATCTATAACGCACCGTTGGCCTTTGGGAGACAAACCACATCTCTGCTCTCGGAGGACTGTGACCTGCCCCCCATAAGATGCCCTTAATTGTGGGAAATACTTCTATAATATGTGTTGCTTTTTTATTCGGCTCTCATCACTGCAAAGGTGCCTTCAGATTGTAAAAAGCTGCGTACGCTGTTTTTCCTGTGCTTTCTCCCAAATCGAGGCGTGCTTTATTCGTAGGATTTAGAGATGTTTGGGTCGGAAGGGACCTCAAGAGATCATCGAGTCCGACCCCGTGCCCTGGGCAGGAAAGAGCGCTGGGGTCAGACGACCCAGCCAGGTGCATGTCCAGCCTCCTCTTGAAGACCCCCGGGGTCGGGGAGAGCAGGGCTGTCATATTGGGCGATCTCCCAGACGGCTGGTTTAGCACCGATGGTGAGGGTTGCTCAGGCTGTCCCGACGAAACGCACGCTCTTTGTTAGCACTAGGAGGGACAGCGGTTGTGCCTGGAGCAGTGTGTGTGCAAAGTCTGGGTCTTACTAAGTGTTACCAAATGGGTCAGAATGACTTAGGAGGAAGGGCTGGAAGAAGTAGGGTTATTTAGTCTGGCAAAGAGACGACGGAGGCGGGGAGACGGTAATCGGTTTCTAATATCTGAAGAGTGATTATAGAGGATGGAAGTAGACTCTGTGGCCATAGGGGACAGGGCTAAGAGCAACAGCCTCAAGCTGCAGGAAAGGAAACTTAGGTTGGAGATGAGGAGGAAGTTTCCACCCACGAAGGTGGCCGGGCACTGGAACAAGCGGCGTAGATGCGATCTCCGTCCTGGGAAGTTTTCAGGAACAAGTTGGACAAACTTCACTGGGACGGTTTATTCAGGGATGCTCCTGCCTTGAGCAGGGGACTGGACTAGATGTGACCTTGTGAGATCCCTTCCAACCCTCCTTTCCTCCGCTCCTGGCAAGTCCTAACCTAGCAGAGATCCCATCGCTTCAAAGCTCTTCGGCCTCCTTGAGCCGCAGCGTGGCAGAAAGCGCCCGTGCTTGGGGGCCTTGAGAAGGAGCCAAAATGTGAAGCCCGCGGCCGATCCCTTTTGGAGGAATAAAGCGACATGAGTGTTCAAAGGATGAGGCGGTAGCATTTGACGGCGTTCTCGCCCTCTCTCAGAAGTGGCTGGTCTGATTCCCCTCCAATTTGGACCAAACGGTTTATTTTGTGAGCAGTGAAGCAGAAAGCCCCCTTTTTTTGATGCTTGCTACACGCTGGGGAAAAGATCAGCTGTACAAGAATACCTTCTGATCCTTTTGATGCCCCTTGAGAGCTCCCTCCTGTTGTACCCTGGAGGGAGATTTCAGACAAAGGGGCAGCTTGTAAGAAATGCCTTTGAGAGTCGTTTAATCAAAAAAAAGTCCCTCTCTGTGCTCCTTTCAGCGCTGGGAACCACAGCAGAGTTCCCTGGGAAGTTGCCAGCTTCTCTTGTGCGCGGTGGCCTGGAGCCCGCACGGCCGAGTACGGCGAAGCTGCCTTTGTGGGCATTTTATCTGACGGGCATAGCGAGCAGTCTCTGTTCAGAAGAAAACCTCTCTTTCCCGAGGCGATCGGAAAGGAGACGAACGTGAGAACCTCTCTTGGACGGCGCAGGGAGTGTTGCTACTGGCGCCAGTAGAGGCAGGTAGTACAGCCAGGTTCAACCTATTCATGTAGGATAGGGCTATGGGGAGCTGCGCAGTCAGGGATGTATCCTCCGATGTCCCTAAACCAAGTGGTGGATGCAAGGGAGACGGTGGCAGGAGATGGATCACTCTAGGCACGTTGCGTTCACGTGCTTTCCCTTTACAACATCTCCTACAGCTGCGTCAGAGACCGGGTGTTGGGTGAGATGGGCCGTCGTGATGCAATGTGGTGCTGCTCATGTTCTTAAACCTCATCTTCCCACCACAGCTGCCAAGCACCAAACTTTACTTGCAGAGACTCACTTTAGCATGACTGCTCCAGGCATGTGCTAGCATAAGGAAGACTGGGATGTGGCCTCAAGTTACTGGTTGATCTAAGGATCGGCATTACCTTTCCTGCAGGTAAATCCTGGGAGCTTGGTTCTCACATGGTCTCCTACCCCAGGTAAGTAGCCCTCTCCATATTAAAATGCATCTGGCTGCATGCTTACAGTCTCTAGCAAAGGTTTGGCTTATGGCTATCCCCCTGTAGCAGCTCTTGGGTTGGCCCTGCCCTGCCTCTGGTTGCCCGCTGGTACGCGACGTTGCAAAGTGCCACGCTCTGTGCTACCCTGACATTGCAGCAACGCACCGCATCCATGTGATGACGCAGGCAGGGACAATGGGACCTCAATTTCCGCATGCCCCAGGACACGCCGCCGCAAGCAGAAAGCATGCAGTTCCCCTCCTACTCCGCTCCCTAATGGGGTTGAGCATTCATAGTGTAGACAAATTTGGGTGCTAACCGGCTGCAGGGATTTCACCATCCCGTCTCCCTCCAGTGCAGGCCGGTGGAGCCGAAGGGGGCAAAGCTCTGGGCGTAACCTGTCGTGTGACACCATACCTTCCTCCTCGGAAAGCTTTTCTCCCATCTTGGTGAGCTTGGCTCTCAGCTCGGACACGGGGATGAAGCCTTTCTTCTGCCTGTCTATCATGGCCATGGCGGTGCGGATTTCCTGCTGTGGGTCTTCCTGCTGCATTTGCCTGTACATTATATTCAGAAAGGTGGAAAAGTCCAGTTCTGCTCTCCGGTCTGGAAATGCAACAAGAACCAGGGGGTTATTCTGACCTGATGAACATTTTTTTTTTCCCTTACCTCCTTTTGTGCTTCCTCTTTCCCCAGAGACCTGTCCCTTCTCTCCTGGGCTGGGCCGGCTCTGTCTCTTCTGCATTATTACCACTGGATCCAACCAGCTCCTGCCTTTCTTTCCGTTGGGTGACTTATGCCCATTTGCTTCCTGGCATGCTACTACCACTGCACAGAAACGGTCTGTGCGGCCCTTGGGGAGGGATGCTTTGCCTTGCCTACGAAGGTGTCGACCTTCAAACAGGTACAAAGCCTCCCGTACTACTTTTGGATGTTTGCCGTGGTGCTAAATGAAGGCAATCCCCTCAAGACCCAGCCTGTGATAAGTGGCCGTGGCACTTAAAGATAAATGAGGCTCCTGGGTCTTTGCTGTTCTGCTGTGTCCTTAGGACAAGCATTAAGGACGTGCACAGTTTGGGGTAATAACTCCCTCTTTGCCTATCAGAAAAATAAGGAAAACCAGGGCTGACGCCACCAGAACTACTGGCAGGTGCTGCCTCTTTGGGGCATGAAACGTGCCTCCAATTTGCGTTGACAATCAATGTAAGGACTCTAATTTGACTTTTTATTGCAACCAAGTAGGTTTTACAGTGCATTTGGGGAACCATTGCTGCCTGGGAGAGCAGGGAGGCAGTGGAGGAGCCCAGGGATGTGGGGGAATCTCCTGACCTGGAGGCTTTCAGGAGGGTGCTGGGTGAGGCTTGGGCAGAGGTGATTTAGGAGCAGCCTCCTGCATTGGTGCAGGGGCTTGGACCAGTCTGAGGATCCTGTGATTTGTCCAATGACCCCGGTCTTTAGCAGCAGCAATGCTGTGGCTTTGCCAGATGTCGTGCGAGCTGCTAATTCCAGGCGGATTCAGTCCATCCGCCTCGCCTGCCTTTCCTTTGATCCCTGCTCTGCTCTCCTAGATGAAAGCACCGTGTTTCCCACCCCCTCTTTGGCTTTGAAGGGCTGCAGGCTCTTAGCTCACCAGAGCAGCAGCACCCGGGGCCTCGGCAATATGACCCCAGACCGGGGTCCATTCAGCCCCGTATCCTGTCACCGACAATGGGAGTAGTGGATGCTTTAGGAGGGAGAGCGTATGAGCAAGGTGTGCGTAGTGATCCATCCTCTGTCATCCCTTAAAACACGGCTGGTTTAAGGATGTCGGAGGTCCTAGACATCCCGGATTGCACTGAATCTTTCCTAGGCACCTGTCCTCCTGGACTTCTACATCTCTGTCTATGGCAATGCTGATTTTAAGCCTGGCCTGTGACTGAAGTGTGTTCGCCTTCACCACCACCCCGCGTGCGGCTTGTTTCGTGACTCACGTCGGGTTGTCCTATGTTACCCCAGGGTCTCGCCTACATCTGCCCCACTCCGCACTACTGATGTGTCCTAGAAAAGCTCCCAGCGTGTCCCTCGGGCCATAATGCCGGCCCTGCTGCACTTACCAATTTTATGCCAGAGAAGGTGCTTGTCCACCTCCGACGGAGTCGGGCTGGCTCCCAGGCACCGCATCACGGTGATCAGGTCGCTGGCTTTGATCTTGCCTTTGTGGTTGTTATCGTAGAGGGAAAAACACTCCTTGAACTCTAGTTAAAAACCCCAAAATAACAGGTTTTGCCACTTTAGATGGCTTTGACTTGAAAGCACAAAGCCACCCATCAGGAAGATAAAAAGCGCATTTAACTGAGCCCGAGACTTTTCTTTTCCTTTTGACCAGACACAGTTGTATATTGAAATCTCGGGGTTTGGGGGGTCCTGCCGTGTGCCCCCCGTCCCCGTCCTGACCCGGGGAGTGGGCAGTGAGGAGACCAAAGCTTTCCTCTGCTGCTATTGCCTCACGGCTCTCTCTTTTCGGGGCGCTGCTCCCCCGTGACCCGACTCCCTCCCTGATCCTCTTTGCGCGCAGTCGGCTCCTCTTGTCTCCTCAGCCTCGCTCCCCAAGACGGCCCCTGCCAAGCCACGGGCCTGTTATAACCAGAAGCATCTTGTTCTCTGGGCTGCCCCAGAGGTTTTTGACATGCTTTTAAGCCTCTCCCCCAAAGTGGCAGAGGGGTAAAATGACTTGCCCAAGGTCCCCACATTGCTCAGACGTGCCAGGGAGGTGTCGCGTGCCCGCAGCCTCGTGCTTTTGGAGAAGCGGTCTCCCGTGGGGTGCAATGAGACCAGGACGAGTGCCAGGTCTTGCACTTGGGGCAGGATGACTGGCTGGGCTGCGGGGAGTGCAAAGGGCAGGACCTGGGTTGTGAAGAGGAGGGTCACTCGCACAGCCGGGGCAGCAATTCTTCCCCTCTATTCGGCGCTTGGAGTCCCGTGCCTGATTTTGGGCCCTGTGCTTCAAGAAAGGTGTGCAGAGATGGGAAAGGGTCCAGCGAAGAGCAACACAACTGATTAAAGGCCTGGGAAATGGGACTTAGAAGGAAAGGCTGAATGAACCAGGTGCAGAGCAGACCGGGGGTGGGATTTGAGAGCAGCCTTCAGCTACCCGGCGGGGAGTCGCCCCGAGGGTGGATGGATGGAGATGCAGGCTGGGGAGCAAGGGTCTTGCATTTCGGCAAGGGAGGTTGGAGACGAGGGGGCGCTTTCTGACTCGAGCATTGCAAAGGCACCTCGAGATGCCATGAAATCTCATCCCTGGAGATTGAGCAGGTTCAACAGGTGCGGGGCTGGGGTGGTGTAGTTGGGCAGGATCCTGCCTAGAGCAGCGTGGGCTCGATGTGGCCTCCCTTCCAGCCCCGCTTTGCTAGGACCCCTCTCGATCTCCAGAGGTTGCCCCAACCGTGTTATCCAGAGCTGTTGGACGGCGAGACGTGAATCCCCCTCCCCTCTGTCTCCCGCGCCCTGGGAGACCCAGCGTCCTTGGCTGGCGCACAGACCCGGGGATGCCGTGCATGGCAGGACGGCACCTTGCACCGTGTCTCGGGTGGCCGCACGTGTCCCCAGAAACAAAAATACCAGGAGGCAAAATGCGCTCCCCTAGAAGGAGACCCTCTTAATGAGCAGCCAACTTCCTAAACTGACCCTGCTTATGAAAGAAACGCTGGTACGTACCATTAATTTGATCCTGGGACAGGAATTTTGCCTGTAGCACGATGAATAAAAAAGAGGAAGGGGAAGAGACGGGTTGGCGCGGGCGAGAAGACCCCTTCCCCATGAGCCCCCCAGGCTTGCCACTCACCATTTGCGCAGGAGCCGCCTGCCCTGTCCCAAGTGCTTGCTGCCTGCGTCCTGCGACCGACTTCCTAGTTGATTAAAGGGCTGAAGTCCACCGATGCTGGGTGGAGAATGGCAAGAACTGTAATAAATACTCTGCTGCCATGGCTACCAGCCCGGATCCACGCTGCAAGGCTCGGGTGCCAGCGCCGGCCGCGGCTGCTGATGCGACGCACGCGTGGGAGCTCGCAGGGACGAGCTCCGACAATGCACTGGGGATTTCGGGCACGTTGTGAACAATGAGGGGTGTTTTGTTTTGTTTTGTTTTGTTTCCCCCCACCAAAAAAAGCCAGAAACCAGAGGCAGAACTTTCCCGGGCCTAAATTTGAGGTCGGCTCAGCCCTGGGGTCAGACGACATAATGAGCACAAAAGGCTCGGTAATCCCGAAAAGATTGCAAGGCGCCGCATGCTGTGCTTAAATACTGCCCCTTGGAGACAGGCTGGTATCTAATGAGGCTGTTTAGCAGGGACGCGGAGGGGTTATTGATTCCTCTGTGATTCACTCGTCATAGGGTTTTGCTGCCGGGCAAGGGAAGAAGAAGTTCAACTTTGTAACTGCGTGCCCTGGCTGAGCCGCTTGCGCTGCGCTCGGCTTTGGCAGGGAGGGTTGCGTTTCGGCCTCCGTTTCTTGGTCGCTGCTTTTAGGATCTATCGAGGGCTGGAAGGCAGGCTTGCAAACAAAGCCTCCAAAAGCTGGATGGTTTAAGGGAGACTGGAGAGCGGGTGGGCTCGTGGCATGATCGGGGAAGTGGTTTTGAGCCGGCTGAAAACTGCTTTTTATTAACATTTCTTTACCCAAACCCCTTCCAAACTAAATTCCTTGAAGAATAAAATCCTCCCCATCCAGCTCGCAGTTAGGAAAGCCTAATCCACCTAAGTGACCTGGGAAAGCCCCTGGGAAAATGAGGAAAGGACCAAGCGTGACTTTTGAGACGGGGCCACGAGAAAGGAAGCCGAATGGAGAGAAGGAGGGGAAAACTGAACCAGGAAGGGTTGCAGTCTCATCTGGGTGGGAATTATTTTGTATAAAAATATTCAGCAGCACATAAACTAAAATTGGATGAAATCTGCATTGTTCGCCAAAAAGCGCAGTGTTTTTCTCATGGAATTGCATGGATGCAAAATGGGGTTTTTCAAGCTTCAGTTTTTCCTCCGAGATGAGACAAAGATGTGGAAAAGACCCCGTAAATGTGTGTACGCGGGACCTGAATCCTGGAGAAGCAGGGCTGGAGGGGATCTGCAGAGGTCACATCTAGTTAACGAGCCCCTGCTTGAGGCAGGGTCATCCCGATCCAAATCATCCCAGACAAATTCACTGCCTAACCTCTTAGTAAAGTTAGTCGACCCTGACCCAACATGAGACATCACACCTGAACCTGCCCCGGGTAAAGCAGGGGGACCGCGGTGGCCAACATCCTGCTGCTGCAAATGTTAATAGGAGCTTGGGAAGAGGCCGTGCCCCCATTACAGAGGAAGGCAACCCCCCGCCACTCTCAGTCCGTACCAATCTGATCATGGGACAAAATCCCTTCCTGACCACCTCCCCCCCCGTACAGCATCAGTCTGAGCCCGAGTGCAGGGGCAAGACCCTCTCCCCAAGGACGCTCTGGCTTTGGTCCCAGCAGAAGCATTGGCACAGCCCAGTCCCCATCCCCAGCCTGGGCTGCTGCCAACACCCAGTGCCTCGGAGAAAGGCTTAAAAAACAAACCCTGACACACGTAGGTGGAGGGGAAAAAATTCCCTCCCAACCCCATGCAGCAACCAGCATACCCAGAAGCCTAGGACATCCCTCTGCCCATCGTCTCGGTGGAGCGGTTGGTAGTCCCATGCCCACTGTGCAAGGATATATGTTGTAGACATCATAGGCAGACAAAGTCCTTTGGGTAAACCTGGTATCTTTTATTAGCCCAACTCAAGTAGTTGGAACAATTCCTTCTTTGCAAGCTTTCGGGTATAAATACCTTTCATCAGGCTGAGGAAGCACCTGCACCCTGCAAGGATGCACCTGAGTGCATGCATGCACCCACTCCTCCCCGGGCCTGTTTGCTCCTTGCTTCAATTCGAGGAGTCTCGAGACAAGCGCGGGGCGGTCTCGGCTGTCTGTACAGATCCGCCGATGCTCCAGATACTTTTGGGAGAAAAAATCTGGCAGTTGCACAATGGATGGGTGGAAATGCGGCTTCATCGGCGCTACAATCACAATGAAGTCGGTGACCTGGGAACGAAGCGTTTGCTGCGCTGATTGTAGCGTCGTTCTACATGATTGCAAAGACGGGGCTTGGTTCCAGCTGTGCTGCAAATTGGTCTCTGGCTGGGGTGTAATTGTGGCGTGTAATAGATTGGCTCCAAATTTTGTAGAACAACGGCCCTTCCATCACAGTCACGTTGCTTCTGCGCCTACTGCCTGCCAGGCCCGAGGTTACACCCCCACCCCCTTTTTTTTCTTCCTGCCACTTACTTTTTGCCCACGTGTGGGTTGTGCTGGGATCTGACACCACTTTGCAGATATCAACCATCGATTTAGCCAGAGCTTTCCCGGAAGGAGAAAGGTCCTGCCCATGCTTTGCATGCAGTATTTGCTACCTGAGTGTTTGAGGGTTAGTAGGATGTGCTTCTAAGGAGCTGCAGAAAGCCGGCTGGATGTAGCAGAGATCCTGGGGGAAGGCCCGTGACCTACCCACAGACACGCCGATTGTGTTGTGTCAGCGCTAGCGGTAGTTTGACGATGAGTTGAGATGATGGACATGTCTGGGGTTGGTTTGGACAGGCAGTGGTTGGATTAAATGGGACCCTGGAGCACCCTCCCTGGCCCCTCGATGGCAGGGCTTGTTTGGTGGGACGCCTGCGGCTACTCGGTGACCGGTGCAGACAGCAGTGGGGGCTTGGAAAGGACCTTTCTCCTGCCCTGGGCCAAGTTCACCTCCAACAGGACAGTGCTGCCGCCCTGCTTTGGGGGAGACGCTAGTCGTGCCTTCCCTGCTCCCTCTGCCGCCAGCTGGGAAGAGGATGGGGTGGAGGCATCAGGCAGCTGGAGGGGGAATCTGGCCTGGGGCAAAAGTCAGGGAGACAGGCCCTTTTGCACAGCACCTGCATCTTGCTAAATGCCCACCCCCAGCTGCGGTGGCCCTCGCCGGCCTCGTGGCTGCAGGGAGGAGCGTGGCTCCGGGCAGGGGAGCAAAGGCAGCACATGCTGCAGGGTGACTGGGGTCAGGGGGTGGGAAACTGGCCGTGCCCGGGCCCAGCTCACACATCACGCACCTCCCGGCGGCTGGTGTCAGGAGTTTATTGGAAATGCAATGACGTTAGAAAACTAGGCTTTCCCCCCCCCTCCTTCCCCCAAACCATGGCCAAGCCGGCGGGGCACTAAGGCCCTTCCTTGGGCGCGTGCAGACTGCTCACATGCAGGGTGTAAAAGGCCCAGGGCTCGGGGATGTAGATGACGCCGGGATACTTCTTCCTGAGGATCCTGTCGTTCCACAGCCAGCCCACCCAGGCGGCGATGAAGACCAGGGTGACGATGAAGGAGTAGAAGAGGAAGAGGCCGTTGCTGTCCAGGACGAGCCCCTTGCGCTTCTGGTGCATCACGAGGGCCATCATGGCGAAGAAAGTAAAGATGTAGAGGATGAAAATCTGTCCTTCCGTCACCAGGTACCTGCAGGGCAGAGCCGGCGTGAGGGATGGGGGTCGGCCCTCCTCATCCAGGCTCTCTCGCTATCCCATGCACGCGGCTTCCCGCCCGGCACGGCCTCGCCCGCTTACCAGTAGTAGAGGCTGCTGGGCCCCACGAGCAGCAGGGCGGCCAGGGGCATCCTGCTCTCCTCCTGCACGCGGGTGAAGCAGCCGGTGAAGTAGATGAACAGGATCAGGAAGAAAGGGATGTACCTGGGGAGAGAGCAGAGTCTTCTCATCAGGGCGCGAGGTCTGCAAAGTCCGTTCCCAGAGGTGCCCGCGGTGCCGCTGCCCGCAGCCGCCGGGGGGGGGGGCTGTAAGGCTGGAGCCCTCCCCGCTGGGCTTGCAGATCGTGGGTTGGGGTGCGCTAGGGGCTGCTTGAGAGGATCAGACTCCCTTGGGCACTGGCAGGACGAGCAGGCGGCTGCCGGTGAGGAAGGACCGTGCGTTCCCATGCCAGGGGATGGGGAGAGACCTTGGGAGGGGTGGCAGCTAGGCTGCAGCAGGTCCGGTCTCAGACTCAGAGAGGACAGGCGGGCGACTATGAGCATCCTCCAACCTACACCCGCTGACGTACCCTCAGCCGCTACCTTCATCCAGCGCTCCCAAGGCTCGTCCCGCACAGGACGGCGCGGCTCCTCGGGAAGGGGGAAAACGCTGCGGACTTGCCGGCTGGGGAAGGACGGCGCCGGGGGTGGGACCGGCCAGGTGGGTCGGGGCAGCCCGGTCCGGGGGTCTCACTGGGCAGGGCCCGTAGTCTTTATGCGACAAGCAGCAGTTTGCTGCATCCCGAGGCCGTGAGCCACTTACCACATCGAGTGACCCAGATACTCGTCGTAGTAATACAGCAGCTCGAAAGAGTCGATCTGCAATGCAATGCAAGGGGGTTAGAGCCACGCGGTGGAACAGGAGCAGACCGGTTAAAGACGGTACAAATCCTAGCGGCGTTACCAGAGTCTCCGGCTTCAGGTTCTTGATGATGGGATTCTCCCTGACGGAGAGATGGTGCTGGTAGCCGCTGAAAATCAAGCGGTGGTTGACGGAGTCTCCGACCAAGTGGATGCTGGCGCCCATGACGAACACGATGATGCTGACGTACACCATGGATCTCGGTAAGGTCTTGGGGGATCTTTCGATGAGCTGCAATTCAACACCACAAGAACTGCCATGGACTGGGTCAGACCTCGGTCTGTCCTGCCCAGTCCCTTGCATCGCACAGCACCAGAGAGCGGAGGCTGAAAAGGAGAGTGAACTGGGCCTGACTAGGGGTTGTTTCCCACCCGTTCCTCTCTCACCTGCAGCCTTCAGCATTTCATAGTTTCTAGGGTAAGAAGGGACCTGAACAGATCATTAAGTCTGACCCCTGTCCTGGGCAGGAATGAGTGCTGGGATCATAACACCCCAGCCGTTTAAAGTCTAGGAAGGTCTGATTCGGAGGCTGTGCCCCTCACTCCCATGCTCCATAGCTACTGGTGCCCCTTTCCTCCAAGAGTGTGTCCAGTCCCTTTGTGCATCTGGCCGAGCTCTCAGCTCCCAGCACATCTGGTGGCAGTGGTACCACACCTGGATGCCCTGATGTGTAGAAAATAATTTCCTGGTGTTGGTTTTGAAGGCAGGTTTTGCTGTGGGAGGGCCTGGCCAGAGGGGTAAGAAATAAGCACCCTGGGCTGCATTGGGAGGAGCGCGGCCAGCAGGTCAGGGGCAGCGATTCTTCCCCACTATTCAGCACTGGGGAGGCCACATCTGGAGTCCTGTGTCCAGCTGTGGCCCCCCACTACAGAAAGGATGTGGACACATTGGAGAGAGTGCAGTGGAAAGCAATGAAAATGGTTGTGGGACTGAGGGACATGACTGCTGAGAAGAGGTGAAATGGGCTGATTTAGTTTATAGAAGAGAAGACCGAGGGGGATTGAATAGCAGCCGTCACCTCCCTGCAGGGGGTTGCAAGGAGGATGGAGCTGGGCTGGTCTCAGTGGGGGCAGATGACAGAAGGAGCGATGGGCTCAAGCTGCAGCAAGGGAAGTTGAGGTTGAATATTAGGAAAAACTTTCTCGTGAGGAGGGTAGTAAAACACTGGAACAGGTCACCCAGAGAGATGGTGGAGTCTCCATCCTTGGAGGTTTTGAAGACCCGGGTAGACAAAGCCTTGGCTGGGATGATGTAGGTGGGGCTGGTCCTGCTTGGAGCAGGGGTTGGACTAGATGTGACCTCCTGAGCTCCCTTCAACCCTCGTTTTCTACGAGTCTCTGATCCTAAGCAAGCCGCGGTGCGCGAGGATGCTGCTGCCTGCGGGTCCCTGCTGTAGTGAACCCAGACCGCGGTCCTGCGTGGTCCAGTCGCCTGTCTCTGACGGCACCCAGAGCCGGATGCTTCAGAGGAAGGTGCGAGAACCTGTCGGTGGACAATTAGGGCCAGGTCCCGTTGTATCTGCTGGGTGTCTACCAGGATTGAGGTGCCTATTCCCCCTGCTCACACTCCCAGAAACCAGCTAACTGCAAGGTGGGGGTGTCACCTTCCTCCGGCTGGTTTGTGACTCGATCCTAGGCCCAGCACATTGCAAAGGCAAGAGCATTTGTGGACTTCCATGGGCTGAATAGTGTGGAAACAGAACTGCACTCGGACGCCCGACAGGCGTGACAGGATCTGGCTCTGACACAACAACCTGCACAGGTGAAAAGCTGCCTCTTCCTTCCCTTCCTTGCCATCTCTTGCCTGCAAAGTAGCTCCAAGAAACGTGTAAATCAAAACTAATGTTGTTTTTCTTTTTTCTTCATTTCCTCCACATTGGATGTTAAACAAATATACGGCTGAATTTGACCCATGGAGCCTCTCTATCCAGCCCACCGGGCTACTGGAGGGTGCTCGATGTTGGATCCTTCACCCTTGCTTGATACAGCCATCAACTCACTGCTGCTATACGCGGTGCCCCTACCATCCCCGGCCCGTGTGCTCCTGCACTGCCCTGTCTCAGCTGGGCCACCGCAACCCCCATGGTGGCCACGGCGGCAGCCCTTATGCCCCAGACGTGTCTGACACCCCTGCTCTAAATCATTTCTATCAAACTTGGTAAAAATACATGTTTGGCCTCCCACCGTAGGGACTTGCCGGGGTCCCTTTGACAGCGCTGACGTCGGCGGCGCGTCACTCGGAGCGGCTGAGTTATTCAACAGCCGTGGGGAGGCGCGTGATTCATTTGCAGTAAAAAAAAAAAAAGCAGCTGCTTTCAGTCCTGGCTAAGCTGAGCTGCGGCCGTCCTCTCCGAAAGCCTCTCGCCCTCCAGTGGCAGCTGGGCTGGCAGCAATGGAGAGCAGCAATCCTTTCTGTAGCAGCCTCCACTGGGTGGTTTGCAAAGGGCTCTTGTTGCACTGTTCTTCCCGAGGAGGACGAGTTGCTCGTCTCTGGGGGTGCAGCTTCCTTCACGCCCAACCAACAGGAAGGTGAAACCTCAGCACCAAATAAAATGGCCCAGTAATGCTCCTGTTCCAGCCCCCGATGCGCCGACCTCCAGGGGTGAAATCCTTCCTTGTGCATCTTCCCACGACAGTCGCCCTGCCAGTACGGGCTTCACGCCGCCCAGACCAGGTAACGAGTCCCTCTCCCCGGCAAGAGCTCCCCAGAGGAGACTTTCCCCAGTGGTTTCTACAGCACAGAGGCCCCTAGACGTATTAATGTGGTCCCTGGGAGGCGGGGACCGTGCATGCAAAGCCGGGTGTTCACAGGGGGGTGGCCAGGCACCGAAAGAAAGCACCGGGGTGACCCTCCTGCATGCAACTCTCCAAAGAGTTGGCAGGAAAGCACGCTCAGCGTCTCCAGCACTGTTTGAGTTTAACCCCATCAAAGTCCAGCTCCCCCGCCGAGCCTTTAAAAGCACCAGCAGCCCTCGGAGGAAGATTTTGTAAGGAAATGGAGATGACCGCTCCGTAGTTTGGGAACTGGCTACGTTCTTCTCGTCCCACAAGATGCACTATCATGATTTTTGCCTTCTTGCTGCAGCCCTGACGCACAAAAGTGTCACAGCCTCGATGGAGTTTTTAATGTGTGTTAAGAGACAGTCTCACCAGCGTCTGGTTTGCAACTTAGCTGGCTTGCTGCTTTTATGCTCCTCTATAAATGTCAATATTAAGGAATTCGGAAGCAGGCCGCAAGAATATAGGCGTGGAAGAGCCTCCACCCGAAAAGAGATGGCTGAGATTGGCACAGTACTGCAGAGTGGGGCTGTGAGAGAGGTGTGGGAAATAATGAATGGCTTGGATGAGAGGGGTTGGGCTTTGCTGTTTGCCCTTTCTTAAAATACAAAGGTGTGAGGAACCTCAGTCCCACAGGAAGAGGCAGCAAACCTGAAACCGAAGGCAGGAGAGACCCTTTCGCCTGCCACGCAGGTAGCCCGGGGGACGTGCTGCTGCTAGATGTCAATGAGTCCCAGCATCGGAGAGGCCCCAAGTCCCCCAGAGGGACTGGGTCTCACGGTGGGCACCCAAAGTGACCAAAGTTAGGGTGGCCAACCTGCAGCACGCGTGTCACTGATGACCTGCGTGCGTGGCACGTAGCAGACTGGGGTTGGGGCAGGGAGCAGAAAGCAGAGATTGGGCAGGAGACTGGAGCAGCACTCGGAAAGATGTGGGGCTTAACTTGTGGCAGGCCAGCCAAAAACATTGCCCCCCCACTGGATTAAAAGAAAGTCTCCCAAGAGAAAAAAGCCTCTGGGATAAAATCCTATTTGTAATGAAGGATGGGTAGGAAGGAGCAGTCTTGCACCTTCTCATTTAGGTCTGCAAGACCCCACGCACAGAGAAGAGGGTGGACAGCAGGACAGTCTTGCGTCTAGGGGACAAAGGTCTAGCGCTGCTCCCACGGCTGCAAACCGCAGCCAGAGGGATCGGGCTAAAGATACGATGCTAACATTTAGCTCGCCGCTGCAACGCTACACCTCTGACTGGCGGGTGTTTGCCATCGGCGGCTTTACCGCAGCCAAGGTTAGAAACCTCTGGTAAGGCTGCAGCCTGTGTTTTGCAGGAAGTCAGGCTGAGCTCCTGGTGTTAAACTAGGACCCTTGCTACGGACACTGGACGTCGGTCTTTGTCAGAGACGGGACCCTGCGAACAAACGGGCTGGGGATCGCCGGAGTCCGTCTGCGTGCACGTGCAGGTGCTGGGTAGAGGGAAACCACCTGGGATGGACCAGTTCCTGGTGGGAGCAGAAGCGAACAAGAAGCAAACTGGGCCCATGATGGGAAAAAGCATCTCGCTCATCTGCTGCAGCGTGTTTCTAGCCTCAGCCGACGAGACGACAAAGGCCTCGCTGTTTCTACCAGGGCAGTGCCCGCCTTGCTCTTGTAAAGGTGCCTTTTTTCCACCGCTGGTCTTGGACGGGAGAACCACAGGCACGTGGGAGCGATTTGTCGACCGGGGATTTCTGACATTTAACTTGGGATACGTGCATTCTGCCGTCGCGATCCCGACGGAGGAATCTGCCGGCGTTGGAAATTTGTGCCCAAAGCCTCAACTCCCAACCCAGGAAAGCATGGGCGCTACAGAAAGGTTTACCTTCAGGAGCAGGAACGGTGTGATAACGTTGTAAGCCATGTGGAAATAATCTCCAGCGCTGGGCTTGTTTAATGGGAACCACTCTAACGGCAGAATAATCTGAGGAGAGAGGGAAAACCAGGCACGTCATTAAGCCGTCGACACCTAACTTGCACGCAGAATAAGAGAGAAGCGTTGCTCCAACTTCCGACTCGTGCACGGCCTGATGTTTAGTGACAGCAAGAAAGGCTGGTTGGGACTGCAGGTGCTTTCCACCTGTCGTGGGCTGGCTTGCTAGCAAGCTGGCAGGATGAGCTGTTAAGAGCATGAACCCTGAGAGCCGCTGCTTTTCCAGAAACCTCTCCTGACTTGTTTTCAGAAAGCACACACCACGTACTGCACGCAGACACGCCACCCGTCAGCCCCTCCCAGTCGTATGAAGCTGGACGGCAGGAAGGGACCCGGGCCCACGCTTCTCGGGGGCGGCCACCCAAACAGCCCCGAAGTGCAGCCCTGCGCAGAGACCACCGTGCCCCTCGCTCGGGAGCTCAGCAGATGCCACCGGGGTTATTTTGGCGCAAGGGTGCTGGGCGAGTGCTCAGCTCCATCCATTTTCCCTGCCACTCCGTGACAGTAACCCCAGTCTCGTGCGCTCCTCGAGCTTGGGGGCTGTAGTTGCAGCTCCTCCGTACTCACCATCGCGATGGGGCGGCCGAAGTCCAGCACCCAGTTCTGCAGTGTGAAGTAGAACCACAGGTCGAAGTGAAACTGCGACGCCTTGGAGGCATCTTCATTCTTGACTGCCCCGTGCCTGCTACCGAGAGAAGAGTCACGACCCAGGCCCGCGACCTGGTGAGACGCGAGCGTGGTTCGACATCCGTGGGGAGTGGGGGGCGGTCTGTCGGACTGAGACAGCGATCGTGCTTTGTGCAACCTGGCAAAAAGGATCTCGCCCTGTCCGATGCCGCGGTGAGAGCAAGGCCCCGCTGTGCTGCGTCCCTGAAGGCAGGTGGAAAGACCATCCTGGCTGCAAAGCACCCGCGGTCTCGCTAGGCGAGACGGATACGAGCTGGGAAAGGGACGGAAGTCAAGACTTGGTGAAGAAGGGCACTGGGACAGACCCCAGCCCTCCTGATTTTCCCAGTCCAGCCCCCAGCAGGTAGGTTTCTCTCCCCCCGGCCGCTGTGACAGCTGGACCGGGAGCTGAGAAAGCAGAGGCTGTCGGGCTGTGGAGGCTGCCTGCAGTCCTGGGACGCTTCGGGTTTAAACGGGAAGCCCAGTGCAGCGCTAGCTCTGCAGGACAAAGCACTACCCCGGCACTTTCCTTCCTCCAGAGATGCTGAAATCTCTTTGTAGCTGGACAAGACGGAAACAGGGAGTCTTTGCATCTTCACCTTCCAGTCTAGAGCCTCCTGCCCTCTCCATCTGCCTGCCCAAATTCCTATCAGCACCGCCGGGACACGGCAGGCCTTATCCAGCTCCCTCGGAAATCCCCGGGAGCCTTGCCACAGAGGGCAAGGAAGGACCAGGCGTCCCTGCAGTACCGCTGGTGGAACATGTGGCTGTTCGAGAGATCAGATGCTGAAACCCTGGTCTCTAAACCTGAACAGGGATTTCTTAGCTGTCCTGCCTGCCAGGGCACTGCTGCGTGCAGCCTATTTACGGGGCACCTTGGAAATGCTCTACGACAGCGGGAGCCGCAGCATCGCGGAGGGAAGCTAACCCGTTACAAGCCTGCTGGTCCCAGCGCTCTCTATTAACAAACCAGACGGCGCTTTTCATCCCTTCCCCAGCCGGGAGGAAAGGCTGGCCGAGCTCGCCAGGCCCCCAGATGTGAGAGGGGATGATGCATCTCTCCTGGCAAAATGCATCCGCCCCCAGTATCCCCCTGGCTGGAGATGCCCGTGTGCGCACGGGGTTAGTTGCACAGGGCCCGAGGTTTCCACGGGCTCTGACAGGTTAAAAACCAGGTGGGAAGTGGGGGGAGATTGGGGAAGCTCCCCAAATGCTGTTTCCCCCAGGCGCTTGCGACAGGGAGAGGGATGGCTCCAGCCCCGGGGGCTGAAGGCAGGCGACCGGTTTGATTCGGGCTGGAGCGTCTCGTCTCGTCTCGCAGCAAACCCCAGACCTCGCAGAGGGACCAGCTGGGTGTCCCGTGTGAAATGCCTCCGAGCCACCTGAGCTAACGCCTTCCCTCGGAGCCGCTGCGGCTCATGGATGAACCTCCCTGCGTAAAGGACCGTCTTGTCTTGGACTGATCTTTTTAACCTTAGGAAACCTGGGTAGCCTGTTCGCCAGCGGCTGCTCAGGCGGGGCCTGGCCTGAGCTGTGCACGCCCCCGGGCAAGCGGGACAGCCAGGAGGAGGCACCAGATGCTCCGTCCATTTGCACGACTGGGGCTGGCAGTGACCTGTCTGTCCCCTCTCTGGCCTGGCACGCACACATGCACACGTGTGTGTGCATGTGCATGCAGGAGTACATGTGCATGCAGGGGGGCACATGTGTGTGTGCATGCAGGGTGGGTACACGTGTGTCTGTGTAGGGGTGTGTTCATGTGGGTCTGGGTGCATACGTGTGCATGCATGTGCATGTGTGCGCATTCATGTGGCTACATCTATGCATATGTGCGTTTTCATGGGGGGGTACATGTTTGTGTCTCTGTAGGGGGGTGTACACATGTGTGCGCATGTGGGTCTGGGTGCATATGTGTGCATGCACGTGCATGGGGGCACACATATGCACATGTGCGTGTGCATGCAGGGGGGTACGCATGTGTGCATCTGTGCACGGGGGGGTGCATGCTCATGTGCATGGGGGTCCGGGTGCATACGTGTGCATGCACTTGCATGTAGGCACACGTGCGTGTGCGTGCAGGGAGGTACACATGTGTGCATCTCTGCAGGGAGGGTGTATGCGCGTGTGCACATGGGTCCGGATGCATATGTGTGCATGCACGTGCATGGGGACACACATATGCACACGTGCGTGTGCATGCAGGGGGGTACGCATGTGTGTGTCCGTGCAGGGGGTGTGCATGGGGGTCTGGGTGCACATGTATGCGTGTGCATGCAGGGGGGTACGCATGTGTGTGTCCGTGCAGGGGGTGTGCATGGGGGTCTGGGTGCACACGTGTGTGTGTGTATGCAGGGGGGTACGCATGTGTGTGTCCGTGCAGGGGGTGGGCGTGGGGGTCTGGGTGCACACGTGTGTGTGTGTATGCAGGGGGGTACGCATGTGTGTGTCCGTGCAGGGGGTGGGCGTGGGGGTCTGGGTGCACACGTGTGTGTGTGTATGCAGGGGGGTACGCATGTGTGTGTCCGTGCAGGGGGTGGGCGTGGGGGTCTGGGTGCACACGTGTGTGTGTGTATGCAGGGGGGTACGCATGTGTGTGTCCGTGCAGGGGGTGGGCGTGGGGGTCTGGGTGCACACGTGTGTGTGTGTATGCAGGGGGGTACGCATGTGTGTGTCCGTGCAGGGGGTGGGCGTGGGGGTCTGGGTGCACACGTGTGTGTGTGTATGCAGGGGGGTACGCATGTGTGTGTCCGTGCAGGGGGTGGGCGTGGGGGTCTGGGTGCACACGTGTGTGTGTGTATGCAGGGGGGTACGCATGTGTGTGTCCGTGCAGGGGGTGGGCGTGGGGGTCTGGGTGCACACGTGTGTGTGTGTATGCAGGGGGGTACGCATGTGTGTGTCCGTGCAGGGGGTGGGCGTGGGGGTCTGGGTGCACATGTATGCGTGTGCATGCAGGGGGGTACGCATGTGTGCGTCTGTGCAGGGAGGGTGCACGCGCATGTGCACATGGGTCCGGGTGCGCACGTGTGCATGCACGTGCATGGGGGCACACACATGCACACGTGCGTGTGCATGCAGGGGGGGTACGCATGTGTGCGTCTGTGCAGGGAGGGTGCACGCGCATGTGCACATGGGTCCGGGTGCGCACGTGTGCATGCACGTGCATGGGGGCACACATGTGCACGTGTGTGTGCATGCGGGGGGTGCGTACGCATGTGTGCGGGTGCCTACGTGTACGTGCAGAGGGGTGTGCATATGTGAGTGCGTGTGCGGGTGTCCGTGTCCGTGTCCGCCCCCCCCCCCCGCC